GCACTGGCCAAACCTTTGGCAGTTCTGCATGTTCCTTGGATGTTCTTCTAGCTGGAGGGGCAAACAAAAAAGATATCTCAGATATTCTGTTAGAGATTTGTTTAACTTTGGCTTATACTTCCATTCTTATTCATTTTATAATTTGTCCATGTGTTTTCTGAGGGGCAGCAACACATATTCAAGTCAGATTATAATTAATAATTGATATTATTTACCCTTTTTTTCTATACTATTGGCCAGTTGTTTGATATGTAAGTCAGAATCTTTATTTGTTTACCCCAGCTAGTTCACCTGCAAGACACACTGACCTGCAGCGAGGAGCTGGTTACTGGTGGAACACGTCTCCACTGCCTTCCTCCTCCAGTTTTCAACCTGTGGAGGTTCACAATGCAATTTCATAAAATAACTGACATTTATTTTGTGGCACATTAGAGCATTATCCAATTCATTTTGGTGGAATATCTTTAAAAGTGTTGTCATGAAAGGAATGGAGGCAGGACTCATTAAGTCTCTTACCTCTCTCTGATTGGGAAATCCATTGGAGCTGATGATGCGTTTGTAAAACTGGACAGAAGCTTTGGGATAACGAGGCTTGTTTTTGTTCCTGAAGTCCACATAGTACAAGCCAAACCTCTCGGAGTAGCCTTCATCCCACTCGAACTTGTCCAGCAGGGACCATGCGGTGTAGCCCTTCACATTGACTCCATCTTTGATAGCTGAGTGAGAGTGAGTTGACCACAAACATGGGATTGAGCTTTAAATAAATATGCTCCAAATGACCAAACAATAAAGATTTGCAGGTGCTTATATTATAAGCTCATTTACCTTTCAGCATTTCATTGGTGTAGTCTTTGAAGTACTGTATCCTCCAGTCGTCACACAGCTCTGTGCAAAGCATCTTTTCAGAGACTCCATTCTCAGTCACATAAATCATTGGGTTTCCATACTGAGACTATAGGGAACAAGTCAATATGCAATAAGTTGATTTTTGTAATTAAAGGCTTAGGCCTACAAGATCATTTCAGCTTCTGCACAACTGTCAATAAGCCTGTCCGGCATCATTCAAATGTAAAGACCATAATTCACCTTGACAAAGTTGAGCAGACGTCTGAAACCCCAAGGCACGGAGTAGAGCCACTCAGAGCCGGGGTCCGGCCAGCGGGGGTCCACCAGCTCCGCCAGGTCCCGGTCAGTGAAGTAGCTGCTGCTGCTACGAGCTGAGGGGTGGTTCTTCTGGGTGATGTAGCGGGTGGTGAAGTGACCGACGCCCAGGAAGTCACACGTCCCCTTGATGTAGCTCTTCTCCTGAGGGGAAAAACTGGGCAGACGGGACGTCCCGAGGCCCTGCTGGACACTCTTCCTACCTGCACACACAAGCAGCGGTGGGATGTAATTGAGTATATTTACTCAAGTATACATTCGAGGATCTTGCAATTTACCTGAGTATTTCCATTTTATACAATGTTTTCCTCTTACTCCACTAAATTTCAGAAGTAAGTATAACAATTTTTACTCTACTACATTCATCTGACCTAAGATACTAATTTGCAGACTACGATTTTAACTTCACCACAATTGATTATTTCATAAAACATGACAACAATGAATTATGTTTTATCAGGTTATCATGTGTTTTGTTCATTAAATATATGAAAAAACGCAACAGCATACAAAATAGTTCAAATAAGTTCCACCTAGACTGATTATGGTGAATTTCGTACAACATGAATGAATCAGTTATAATAAAATGAATGAATAATAAAAATACAATATAGTAATACACACAAAAGTGTATTTTCTGTTACTTGTATTTTAAATGCAACTTGTTTTCAAGTACTTTGACAAACTGATATTGCAACTTTTAATTAAGTAAAGGATCTGAACACTCATTCCACCAGTGCAAACAAGTAGTTGGTTAATTCCCAAATCACCAATATAACACCGGATTCAGGATGTTAAATATTGAACCTACCAATAAAGTCTTTCATCACTTGAGGGTAGTCTCCATGAAAGATGGGTGTGGCAAACCAGCCCAGGTAGAACTGGACGTATCTCTCAGCTGCTTCGATGTCTTTCTGGTTGGTGATGTCCACCGGCTCCCCCCAATCTCCAGACAGAGAGATGCCCACCAGACCTGCACATGCAAACAGCAGCACTCAACACTCAGACAGAAAGTACTGTTGAGAGGCAAATAATGAACCTGAGTTTGACCCTGTTTACCTTTTTGTTTCGCCCTCCACTGTGTATCATAAGTGTGCCAAACTTTAGCATGTGCCTATGAAAAAGGGATGATTATTTTAGACATGATTTACATTTCAAGTGGCACATGCATTGCTAAGTGTTATTGATAAGTCAATATTCATGAACTCTCCTACCTTGATTATGTGATGTGCAGCTTTGTATGCGCCTGTTCCTCTCAGCCTCAGACCAGGAGCATGCTCACCGGTCTCATAGCCTTCCACTGCTACAGACTAAATGAAAAATGTTAGCAGATTATTAGTCTGAGAACAACAGGAGTTCAATTCAAAGGTAATAAACTAATCAAAGCTATGCTATGTCAAAAAGAACATGTGAGGCAGGTGTCAATGATACACCTGCAAATCCTTTATATTGAACCTACCCATGGATTGTTGAAAGTCATCCAGTACTTGATTCTGTTTCCAAATCTTTCGAAGCACAGGTTGGCAAATTCATTGAAATGATTGACCATGCTTATATTCTGCCATCCACCATATCTCTCTTGTAAGAACTAGTAGGACAAAAAGAGTGCAGTAACTCAGTAAAGAACAATTGTGCTGTGATGCAAGATGATTGAAGGTTTATGAACGTCTTGTATACCAACCTGTGGCAGATCCCAGTGATACAGAGTTACAATGGGAGTGATCTTGTTCTCCAGCAGGTGGTCAATCAGTTCGTTATAGTACTGTATTCCTTTTTCATTTATATGGTCAGCTGCAAATAATAAAATGTTGTGTAATTATAGAGTTTTTTGTATTTGACAAAGGAAATAATATGTGCCGGTTCAGTTCAGAAATACTTGAATTAAAAGCAAGTTACTCACACTTTATGCCAGTGGGGATGAGTCGAGGCCAGGATATGGAGAAGCGATAGTGGTTAAGCTTCAGCTCCTTCATCAGACCAACATCATCCTGAACAACACACACGGAGTGAAATATTTAGATTTCCTTTCCCCCCCTCTGTTCTCTCCATATCTCTTTGATAATCCCACCTTGATTTTGTGGTAGCCCTCACAAGACGAGTCCCCGGTGTCATTTTGTTGGATTTTGCCTTTCTTATGACTGAACACATCCCAGATGCTCAATCCTTTACCATCTTTGTCCCAGGCTCCTTCTGTTTGATAGGCTGAACTGCCGGCACCCCACGAAAATCCTATTAAGCACATACAGTTAGGAGATAATATGAACAGCTCTTAGGAGATATAATATCACCACTTATTAGTTCATTATAATGCACTAACTCCATCCTACTGGAGAAAAGGGTTGTGTTTACCAGCTGGAAAAGTGCCATAATAGAAGGAGCCGTGGTCGTTCTTTGTCCAGTCGAAGTCCTCAGCCGAAGACAGACACAGCACCAGCACAAACACATGACACACACTGATCGCACAGCGGGGCAGCATGGTACTCCTGAGCCTGCAGCACAGTCACTGTCTGGTTCTGCTCCAGTCCCTCACTCACGTCTGCACACAAAAGAGAATCATTTAGCATCACCTCTGAATCACTATTACAAGTTAGGTAGCAAACATGTAATTTCATCAAAATACATATACTGTACACAGTAACACATGCCCCTCTTTTAAAAAATGTTGATAAAAGTTGAACTAGTAGCAGAAAATAATCTTGATATAATCCCAATTAACTACCATCAAACTGTCTCTAAAAGCATACAATCTGATAGACTATGGGGGGTCCCGCATCCCCAAATAGCCCCTTTCAAACTCAATGGAGTTTGAGCTCATCGTGCTGAGGTAGACAGATCCCATACAAACTATGGTTTCCCCTCTGTAAGCAAAGTTAATGTTAGCGGGGGGGATATATTTAGTGCACAATCACATGACATTGGACCAACCTTTGTCCAATGAATTTGGGAAATGCCTTAACCTCACCATTAGACAATAGTAAGATATTTAATGTTATTTGTCACATTGTTAATGTCAATGTAAAGTCCTCACAACTAAACAAACCTAATAATCTTAAATTGAATAAATAATGAGCATCATGTCACAATACTTTCGTCTTATAAATCGGCAATCAATTTAATGAAAGCTTCATCATATAATGCAGAATTGACGCATTTCTGTATGATCAAATTAGTCATTTAAAATCATCACCTTAAGAATCTAAAGCTCATGGAATAATGAACACTCATTGAAAAACACAGTTTACCTTAGTTTTTCTCAGATGATTTCTCACTAAAACATTTTTGTGTAGGTATTATTTTTTATATAACAAATATGAATAGTATTTTTAGTCATTTATTTTTAGCTAAATCAATCATAAATCCATCAACCATCACTCCAATCTGATTCACAGCATATGAATTATGTCTAATTACCTGCGTACTTTAAGAAGAGTTCATTTGCAGCAGGTGTGTACCTGTGTGAATGGGAGCTCTCCTGGAACAACCGCCCACGTAGAAAGCTGTATATATCTATCGCTGCGTTCTCTATTGTATGTTCCTGTTGTAGCACCACCCTTCTCCAGAGCTGCCCCTGCTGCCAGTGTCAAAGCTGGCCTTATTGTGAGGCTCGCCGTATTGTTTTAGCTGTTTAGAAAATGCTGAATGGTTTGCTAGAGGAAAGTGTTTGCACTGCATAACCCATTCGCCTGGGTCAGGTTAGGACAATTAAATAGGTATAACCTAAATTGAAAATAACATGAATCTGCTTATTGCCCATATGTATGCATGGCAACTTAGAAAAACTATACTGTATGATGCTTGTGTATAACTAGAAGTGTGTTATAGTAAAAATCAGTCAGATGAAACGTATGCAAAACATTTTATTTTGTGCTTACAATTATCATTTCTTGCATAATGTATATGTACTATCTTCTTATATGGCCCAGCCACACATTTTAATGCTAATCCTCAAAATGCACAATATGTCTAGTAAGCTATAAGCAGCTAATAACACTGTCTTACTGCATTTCAGATAGACCTTTTTCACAACATTTGACAAATAAATTCTTATGTGGTTTGTTGTGCCTTAAACCAGACCAAGGAGGGTACTGTTAGCACCACTCATCATTACACTGTAACTGTTACTCACTCCATTCAAATAAATTAAACTGTATAAGTGATAAACAGGTGAACAAATGAACATATGTCTGTTAACATGTGGTTCTTCTTCAGTGGTGCAAATAGTTAAGCTCCATGAGACACTGAGAATCTCAGTAATCATCATCCTCCTCATCGTCATCAGGGCCAGACCCAATCTCAATGTCATCTTCTTCGTCATCCTCTTCATCTTCCTCCTCATCGTCGTCCTCCTCCATATCAAGATCTATTGCGGCATTCAGTAGCAGTTTGGTTTGATTGATCTCGCCCTCATCATCGAGGTTAATATGAACCTGAAACAAAGTCAAAGTGAGAATGCATAACTAGCTAGAGCAGTATGTCTTTGAGAGTTGTTTTTAGAGACTTCTGTTGCCCAGTGATTCCTCGTAGGTATAGCTTCATGTGCCTTAGAAGTAATAATTAGAAGAAAAAAAATGTTAAGCTGACGGATGCATACAATGAAATCAAAAAGTGTAATGAAATACTAGTGTACAGTGCATGAGTAGTATAGAGGCATTTCATATTTACTGTTTTAATCATCGATTGTCTAGACAAGGCCTATAAAACCATTAATAACGTTCTCAGTGATCCTATTATCCAGTAATTCAATATGTACATTGGCAGTGGCTCAGTGAGTAGGGGCTTGGACTGTGAGCCGTAGGGTCGCCGGTTCAAGTCCCCGACCAGACCTAAAAATGGAGTGTGGACTTCTACTTGGAGAGGTCCCAGTTCACCTCCTGCCCTGCCGTGGTGCCCTTGAGCAAGTCACCGGACAACCCCCTTCCCCCCCACTCCCATTGCTCCCTGGGCGCTGTACAATAGCTGCCCACTGCTCCTAGTACTAGTTAAATGCAGAGAACACATGTCACTGTGTGCTCTGCATGTGTGACCATTAAAGAGGGTTTCATCCCTCCCAATAGTAATGTACAAGTTTCTTAAAAAAGGGTACATACATTATGTTTATAAATTAAATTAAATTAAATTAAATCATAAAAACAATAACATTCCTAAAATGTTATAGCCTTTGCGTGCAACATAATAATCTGATTATTCGTCACAATTGAAGGCATTTTAATCAACCTAATAAACTCAGCAACATTTCTGTTAGCCAAATAGGATTACATGGCTATGTATAACTTAGTCGTACTGATGTAAACTTAGGTGGTAAAGTAATCAGATTACGACAACTCACATAAACAAGTTAGCCAATTTCCTGTCTTAACATTATTACTCTAAGTAACATGGTTTATGTGTGGATTTAAATCGGTGCGGTTATGCAGGCCTGCAAACTGTAACACCCCAAGCTTACAGTAGTGTTGTGTAGTAAAACACAAGTTATCTTCATTTTCAATAAAACAACTGAAGTGTGAAATGATCAGAAAACACAGGCAAAAATATGATTGTGACCTGTGCACATTTAGCAGGGTTGTGCCTGATGTGACAGGGATTACCTCAGCTTCTGGGGAAGATCGTTCAGAGGCTCCTTCTTCTGTTTGTGCACTAATGATAGATTTTAAAGCCCCCTCTTCGAACTGAAACACAGAGCAAACACATCAAATATAAATCAGATTTACCACAAACACAAGCACAAACCTCTACACTCATTGTGGACTCTCTCACTCACCTTCAGCCTGTTCAGTTGGTCTTGGAGCATGACTTTGATTTTGAGGAGAGTCTCCTCTTCCTTCTTCAACTCCTGCAGACGGCTGTGCATCTTTACTGGTTCTGCTGCAGTCACACCATTCCTCAACACTGAAAGGGAAGAGATAGGTAGTCATGGTTACAGTGTTATGTCAGATTTGATATCCATTACAAAGTGGATAGGGGTGGCAACGTTTTCAAGTCTTCAAAATGCCCTACTTATTTATTTTATTTGACAGAAAGTCACTTTACTCAACCTCAAATGATGCAAACATTTAGATAATATACAGTTTCAAACTGTTCCTGTCCCATTTATTAGGATTTCATTGAAAAATATGACAATTCATTAACTCTACTCAGCAGCTTCCATCCAATGTAACGCTAGTTTGCTAAACGTTCAATATAGTACGGGCTACTATCGCATGCAGTTAAGTACAGGTTGTGTAAAATAACACATCTAAAAAAGGTAACTGTATTGTTTAGTTGCTGCTCGCTACGAACAACATGTTGTATAATAACGTTAGCGGTACCCCAAATATATCCTTTTCACAAATGCAAAATAAAACCCAATTTAAGATTATTACCTTTATTTATAAGTCCTGCCTACAGCTCCATATTAACGTCCAAATAGGTGTTGAACGAAGATATTGTGCTTACGAGAGCTTTTGTTTTGAATACTGATAAGTTAGCTGTTATGCTACAGATACCGTTACGAGCTAAAGTTTGGTTCCTGTGGTCATGATGTCATATCCGGACCTTTGGTAACGTTTATAACTATCGGAAATGTAAAACTTCTGGCTGGAGAGCTAACAATGTGTCATCACTTTCAGGACTAAGTGTCTTAATTAAAATTAGTGATGGCGAGATGAAGCCTTATGAAGCTTTGAAGCTTTTCAGCCAATTGGTTCGCAAAAGGATTCATCATCTCATTTCTCATGTCAAAGGCTTTCATTTGAGCACAAACCCTCCTGTTGGTCAAAGGGTGTAAAACAGGCAGATATATCCCAACAGTGTGATCTTTCGAGTTCCCAATGAGTAAAGCCTTAGAATAACTAAACAATTAACATACAATAATATTTTCATGTAATCAATTTGCATCAATATTGTATATATTCCTGTTGAATGATTGTGATTGAAAAGCCTAAGGAGGCTGGGAAACATTTCATTATTCCTTAATAATATTCGCAAACTTAACCATGGTAGAGCCTCAGAAAGTCTTAACAACATCAAAGAATACATTTATTAACTCCGGGGGACGCCCATAAATGATTAAAATTGATAAAATATTAAGAATACTTAAATAAATAATAATAAAAACAATAATAATAATATAAATAAACAAATAACACAAAATAAAATAATATAAATACATAACAAAAAAATGATTATAATAAAAACAATTATGATAACAAATAATAATAAATAAATAAATAAAATATATAAAAAACAATAAAATCATAATTCAAAAAATAATAACAGTAGGGAGACGCCCCCCAAAAAATCAATTATAATTATAAGAATGAAAATAATCAAATAAAAATAACAATGAAATAGATAATACAATCATAAAAATTTGAAAAAAAGATATAAAGATATTTAATATGAAAAAAAAACGTTTTACTAAAACTACAAAAATAAAGTAATGAAAATAAGAATTAAATACACTTTATTTATTCATTCATGTATTTATTTCCACATGTATTTATTCGTCTATTTATTTATTCATTTATTGCCGTATTTATTCATACATGTGTTCATACATTTATTTATGCATTTATTTATTTATACGTCAGGTTCCGTCCTCCCATAAGTGAGAGTCTGAGTTATCTTAATCGATACACGCTTCACCAAATACTTCCTGGTTTACTCGAACCACGCTCCGAAGCTTCGGCGCAGTATGTAACATCACTACTTAAAATCCCTCAACAAAAAACATTGGTGACAACAAGAGGTTTGCATTGAATCATTTGGACAATTAATGCAGTGTAATAAATTAACCTCAACGCGTCCTTAATAAACGACTTCACGAGAGGCACCTAAACGCAGCACTACTGTAAAACGAACTTTGAATTTGGCGCCATCTTCTGGTCAAGCAGCGGTAACGGCCGCCTTGCCCTTCGAGGAGAAAAAGTCAGATTATTTGAGAATTGTTTGAACAAAACGTGGATGAGACACGCTGAAAAAAAGAAACCCATCACATTTGTTTGTTACAAGTTACTGAGCCGAGTTCGTGGAGCACACGATCCAACATGTTATGGCTCAGCTTGATTTCCTGTAAGTACCCTGTGGGCGTGTAACCAGGTGGACATTAACGTTAGTTAGCTAGCGGGCTAATGAACCTGTATTAATGCAGGTATTTCTTTCTAGTCGGTTATCAATGGCCATCCACCCTTCCCAAAGAGAGGTTTGAAGTGGCAGGTGTCAACTTTACGGCTCTAGGAAGCCTAATTTGTAACAAATGTACTTCATGGTGTTAGTCTCCCTCATAAAACATAAGGGTCACACTTTTGGAACGCAAATAGGCCTTAAAAGAGAGGCCTGGTTGCCACTCCACTAGGCTATATGCAAAGTGTACATTTGCTTTCTAGCTGGAGTAACTGCAAGTAATGGCTTTAGTTTATGATTAGCAATACTAAAATTGAGTGAAACTTGATAACTAAAGTTTGCAGGATATTTATGACAATTTATGCAAGAGTTTCTCAGCATTTGAAGGGAGCTAGGATTGTTTTCATGGTACAGAAACAGCTACGATTTCCATGTCTGGTGTGACAGTGATGATGGAGCAGCCCTCCATGTTTATTCAAGTATCTGAGCTGCCCCATAAGCAAATATTGACCAGTCTTGTATATTAACTAGGAAGTATGAGAGTCTCTCTTAAATCCCCAAACCCCCATTACACTGAAAGAAAAGCAAAGTGTAGATAACGAATTAACTGAAAACTCAAATAAATCACAGATGGAACTCATTGATGTGAACGAGATCTGAAACGGCTCTTAATCAGTCTTCAAAAATGTTAGAAGAGCCCATTAGGTTCTTTATAGGATTCCTTGGCTAAGTCCCTCCAGATGTTTGCATTGATAATCACAGCACGCAGGCAGGACTGGAGACTAACAATGGAGCCCAGCCAAAGAGAGAGACAGAGCCTAGCCGTCCATGTTCACACAAACATGAAAACAAGACTACTGCAGGATGTAGGAGTCCTTAAATGTTTCTCACCAAACGCCTTCTTTTGGTTTAAAAAACCCTGGTCACTACAATGTGATGAAATTGTAAAATGTGTAGAATTTGTTCAAGTTATTGTTCGACAGATTATGGAATGGCTTTATTCTAAATATCCTCTCGCCAAAATACGTACATTATTTACCCAAAGATTGACTTAAAGGTGGGGTAGGTAAGTTTCAGAAACCGGCTCGAGATACACTTTTTGTTATATTCCATGGAATGCTCTTAACATCCCGATAGCAATGAATATCTTAAGTGCTTTGACAAAAAATCCATTAAAAAAATGCATCTGTGGAAGCCGTAGTACTGTAAAAAGTACAACCAATCCGTTTAGCCGGCCCGGCTAAACGGATTGGATTGCCGCCCTGTCTGTCAGCCTTCATCTCGTGCATGCACAAATGTATCTCGTGCCAGCAACAGGCCACTTTCACCAGTCTGCTGACGTCATGTGCGCGTTCATGTGTGTTGGAGGAGGTGAAGGAAGGGGCGGATTCTTTTCGGCTGTGTACTTTCAAATTTTAGTGCACTCGAGCCGGTTTCTGAAACGTACCTACCCCACCTTTAATAACATGTTTTAGTTTTTTTTAATCACAATTGGATGTAGCTCACTAATAACCCTTCTGGCACTTATATGAATCTTAATGGCCCTCCTGTCTGAATCTGTCGCTCCCTTTTTAGTCAACTGCGCTTGCTTGAATTTGTGTCCCATCATTTCACTTTGTAGAAATACTGTATGTTGCCTGTGCTTTAGGTGAGAAGCAGCAGCTGTCCAGCGCCACACAGTGCCCCCGCTAGAGACCCAGGATGCCTCCAGATATAACACAGCGGGGCAGATAATGTGAGGTGCCAAGAGAGTGTCCTCATGTGTCTCTGCTACAGGTTTGATATCAATTACACCTGTCAATACTGCTTTGAAATGTGCTACACTGATCCGTGCTGCAGACATGCGTGTGCCAATATATAGATTTATTGTACCTTGTCATTTCTTTTGAGAATGATTGCACTTCTGTATCTTTCAATGTCTGAATAATTTAAGAAGCGCACATTCTTTTTAAATCATCCAGTACATGACATTTCACGACTACTATTCAACAAAAGAATGAACCCCTGCAGTGCTTCTCAAAGTGTGGTCCGCGGACCACTGGTGGTCCGTGAGCGCCCCCTAGTGGTCCGCGAGTATATTGGTAACATTTCACATTTGAAATAAATAAATACATTTAAGTTTTCCGCACTCTTGCAGGAATATCTCCGCAATGGAGCGAGCTAAAGTTTCACTTTCGATTGCATGATATGGCCCAACCCAACACCTTCATCACACATGTTGCCACTTGTTTGTACCATTTTCAGGCGATTTGTAATCTGTTCTAGAAAAACCATGTGATTTGGGATATTTGTGGAGTTAGGTGGTCCACGAGTGTTTTTTTATTGGTTAAGTGGTCCTTGGTATGAAAAAGTTTGAGAAACACTGCCTTATGCAGAGGCGAAATGAAACATTTGAAACCCAGCAGGTATTTCCAAAATACAAGATGTATCCCCATAAAACTGTTAAACTGCTACTTAGAGGAAAATGTCAAGATTGGAATCCATTAGGTTTGTGTTGGTCAACGCATGGACTAATTGACTGTTCATTACAGCACTGTACATTTGCCGTGTTGTTGTATGTCACCGTGTACAAGAACATTATTGTTATGAGAGCCGAGCACATAGTGAGCCTTGGGAGGGTGAAACTGGAGCTGTGTGTCAGTGTAGTAGAGACCTCAAGGATTTGGGGGTCAGACGAAAAGGTGCTCGGAGGCCTGCTCCCCACTATCGCAGCTGCCACCCCCCCAGCACAGACACGAGGGGCCCCACTCCGGCATGAGGGTTTTACTTGGAGTTGGTTTCAGCAGCTTGAAGGTGGCTAATACTATACAGTTATCACTCTGCTCCTGAGAGCTACAGTTGCTTTTTCCTTGTCATCACGGAGACTCTGTTGCTGCTCCATTGCAATTTCCCAACAATCAAAGGTCTCTTATGCAGGGGCTTGAGCCCGGTGCTGGGGGCCGGTGGCAGCTGAGGCCGGGGCCCGGTCGCCCTGCGAGCGATGCTGCTGCAGCGTTTGAAGGTGCTCCCACCGTCTGAGGAATGCAGCGCTGGACGTGTTGGATGAGGGGCCTACCAAAAGGGAGAGGAGGAAAGGAGGCAGGCAACACAGAGAGAAAGAGGGAGGGGGGGCGGGGCTGACCTTTGAACAGAGCCGTCAGGAAGTTATGACTCAATTTTCAATCGTGGCAGTAAAACACAGAGAAAGAGCATGGAAATAGAGGAGGGATGAAAGATGGAGCAGGAGAGAGGGAGGGAAGACGATGATACAGAGTGTAAGGTGAGGCCCGGAGAGATAAGATTGTAAAACAGCAGTGGAGCGTTTGTGGGGTCGGTGAGTCACCGGGGAATCTGGGGCTCTATGCAATCACAGCTGAGCAAAACCAGATCATGGCCGGCACTGCTTGTCATTCGTCTCCAGTTCAAGAACGAGGCAAC